CTCCGTATCTCATTTATGAAATGCATAAGTGAAGCAGCTTTTCATTCAGGCAGAAATAAAGCTGCACAAAAACACGAAAGCACGTGTTTAAAAATCCCTTTGTGTGCTGCTGTTCCTCTGTAGATGTGTGGGTCAGTGTTGGCAGCTGTGGTCGGTCTGGTGGGGTCTGCCTACTGTTTCATCGTATCAGGGTATGCACTTCTGCAGGGCCCCCAATGCTTCACCTCGTATGGATGGTCGTATCCCTTTGCAGACCAAAAGGGCAGGTAAGGATACATCCTAGCGCTTTGTGTATGAAGATGTAGATGCCTGCATAGGTGCGTGTTTTGTGCGGCGTTGTGTAACAATCGTTTCGTTATCAGTTAATGTTGTCTATGAAATGTCATAAAGTAAGTATTCAGGTAAGATTTTGAAATGACTCGTGCAGTCTTTCGTGCTTTTCACTTTCGTATTCAGTTTATTATTTCAGCTCTCTTACGTCTTCTGAAAGATTATCAGTATTTTGAATACAAAGGTAATGTTTTAATATAAATACCTGTATAAAAACAAAACAAACAGAAAACCAACTGTATTTTTTACTGAGCTTTCTAGTACAGATGAAAAAGTTGTAACTCTAACTTATATTACTGCAACACTGGGTAATAAAAGAACGATTATTAAAAGCACGCTTTTACACAGAAACTGTGAAAAGAGATTATATCACATGCATTATTATTTACGCATTATTACTGTGTATTATATCAGGTAATTAAAATACAGAAGATCAGTCACCTTCAGTTGTGGGTCTCTGCCTTCACGTTTTTCTCCATTAACTGAAAAGCATGCTGGGATGACATCAGTTAACTTGACCGTTGAAGAATATCCCGTTTGGTTACCTTGAGAAAATTTGAACTGTGCATTTGTGCTGCTCGATTAGTTTTGCAGCATTTAGCTGAAGCTGAGCAGAGAGTATAGCCATTTACTGGTATAGTCTGGCATTTTTGCTCCATAACCAGCAGTTTGTACATGGCTGTAAACCCTATATTTCTATATATTAAGATCTTGACTATAGACTTGGTTAGATGTTGCAAAGTTGATGTTTTTCTGGAGTATAAATAATGTTGTCAATAATTGTATCATACACTCTAGTTATTGTCTGTGGCCTTTCAGGCTGAAATGATTTGTGCATTCATTTATTCTAAAAAAGCACCAGATTGTTGATTTGACCACTCTTAAAGCTTTTGCTCTCTCTCTGATAGTTTATTATGATTCTTCAGTCTACAAGTGACCTCCCCCACTTGCACTGTCCTCCCTTAAGGCCTCATCTTTAAAATTACAGTAGGAAAGCTTTTAATTTAACACTTTGAATCAACTCATCACATTTTGTCTGCTTCATTTATCAGTTCGCTTCAGTTTTATTTATGTAGCACCAAATCACAACAATAGTCTCCTTAAAGTGCTTAACCCTTTCATCCATAATGGACAGCTATTCAGAGGCAGTTTTCTTGTATTTGTGTCAGTGTTGATGGTTTACTTGCACATAAAAACCCCCACATTGGACACTGATATGTCACTCCATACTATAGCCTGCTGCCCAATGGTCATTTAAATTTCAGTCAGAACATGGTATATTGTGTTTAGGTGAAAACTAGAATTAAATTAAAGGATTTTAAGTGTTGCTTATAGTGCGGAAAATATGGCACCTAAGAAAAATACGCAACAGTAGGAAGGAAAAAGTCAGGCAGAACCAGGCTCAGGGAGGGGCAGCCATCTGCCGTGACCAGGTTGGGGTGATTTCTGCATTTGAGTCTTTGCTGCCTTTCTGGAGAGAATGTAGCACAACAGCACTTGCTCTAATTTTCTGGATCAGTTATGCCAGGGGTGTCAAACTCAAATACACAGTGGGCCAAAATTCAAAACTGGAACAAAGTCGTGGGCTAACATTAATATTTATTGGAAAAAAAAATCTTCCTCCAGATATAAGAATGAATCTTTTCTTATGGACTCAAATAAGTTTTGCTGGAAAACTGAATATGGAACAAGCAAAGCTTAATACTAAACAATATATATATAGTAGCTGTATAATACCAGTAGGCCAGCTCTAATAGTAATGTGGTATGGCTTCGCGGGCCAAATGTAATTAAGCTGCGGGCCAGAGTTTGACACCTATGAGTTATGCCTTCACCAGTTTGTGACTTGCTCTTTGATAATCACACTTACTCTCTGTCCCAGGTATCTTCTGCAGCCAGAAACGTGGACACGGTGCCTTCAGCCGGTTAACATCATAGAGTGGAACATCACTCTGCTGTGTGTCTTACTGGGCCTGGCAGTGCTGGAGTTCATCATCTGTCTCCTACAGCTGGGAAATGGCCTAGTCAACGCTGTCTGCCGGCCCTGCTGCTACAAGCAGGAGTACAGTCTTAATGCTTAGATTCACCTGCACAGACATACCACAGATGCATACAGATACAACCATATCGTACATGTACATTACAGTAATGGACACAAGCACAAAAGGAAGTCTCCACACATAACCTCACTGCAACGTGTGTGCGTGTGTGTGTTTGATTACAGCACCACATCTCCAGTCAGCCAGGTTAGATTTGTAATCAGTTTATTTTCAAGTTCAGTCAAAGTCACCAGTGGTGCCAGGATATGTGTCTGCAACAATGTAGCTCTGTATGACTTTTTTTTATTCCATAAGTAGGACATTGTAACCTACTTTAAAAGCAGGCATAGCAAGCCAACATGTACAGATAGTAAGAGAGGATGGGAGTATTAGGTTTACTGAAGTAAAGTCTGTCAAACGTGGTGCACAGGCTTGCTCAGTTTCTTCACTGTTATTTTATGTTGTATGCTACACAGCTGTGTTAACATTTTTAAGGCCTGAAGAGAACTACGTTAATAACAGAGCAATCAGTATCAAATCAACTGCCTGATATTGTTTGATAATGTGAACATTACCTTCTTTTGGGTATTTCCTTTCCATGGTTAATGGTGTTTTTGCAAGAAACAGTGCGTGTTGCCATGATTATAGTCTTTGAATGTGCCATCTTGGCTAAAATGAAGCACAGTGATGTGCCCTTTATGTCTAATTTTATTTTTGTGGTCCCAGGACTTGCAGTGTGTTGGATCACACATGCAACACAATCCGATTTTCTTTTTGTGCATGTGTGTGTGTGTGTGTGCGTGTATGTTTTTACATCTATTTTAATTTTCAGTATACTTTGTTGTAAATTGTTGTCTTAATGTTTCTCAGATGCTAGTCCAGTGTTAACAAACATTATATATATATATATATACACACACACACACACACACACACACACACACACACACACACACACACACACACACACACACACACACATATATTTTAGTGGCATATTTTTATAATGTATGGTTTGTTTGTGCTGCCTTGAATAAAAATGAACAATTTCTGTTTTATATGTATGCATCCAGAGTTTTTTTATTATTTAAAAACAAAACAAAAAATCAAACTGTTGCTTCTGTAGAGGGGAAATATCCCAGACGCAAATGCAATCATGTCCTTTGAGGTCAAAATGTGGATTTTTTTGTGTGCAGCTCCTGTGGTGTGTTGTAATCAATACTAGTGAGTAATGAGTACTAGAGTTTCCAGAGTTGACTGATACTGATATTTATCAGATTGAGTAATTGTTGCCTTTAACCCTGAGAGCCATGCAAATTGGTGCTCATTTTTTTTAGCAGTGTCCCCTCCCTAAACTGTGTGCACAGCGACCGTTTTCTCCTTGTTCTGAGAACCTTTACACAAAGATAAATTAGGAATAGTATTAATTAATTATCATAAACTGACTTTTAGCAAAGTAAACGCACAAGTAATGAACCCAAACACAGAGACATCTTTATTGGCTCAGTGAAATGAATCTGGTTGTGACACAAGGTCGTTTTCAACATTTAACCCCTTGCATTTAAAATCAAACATTTACTCAAAAGTCCACTTTTACGTAATTGGCTAAATATAACGTCACTGGATTTTTTTGCTGAACAGAAAAAAACTCCGATTTGACACAGATAAGAATCTTTGGATTCTTAAACGAACGATGTTGATTTTTAAAAACTTTATTTTGAGCTGTAGTGAAAATCTACAAGGGAGTAAATGATGAAGGTTAAGACTAATCTCTTGGTGTTTGGATTTACGAGAACAAAACTGTTTGTGTTCTTATGCAAGTCTCGCCTGCTGATCGAACACCTGGCAGTCTGATGGTCAGTGACCCCTCGGTCCTGCTTGGCTCAGCCTGCGAGTCATCTGACGCAGTATAAAGACACAGAGCTTTAAACGTCGCTGAGACACACTGGTTGACAAACATCCAAGACTTTTAATTCTCTGCGCCGTGGGTCTTTATCTTCAAGTTCTGCGAGAGTATTAATAATAATTCAAATAAAACCAAGAGTCATCATTATCATTATCACCACTGTCAGCTTTTATTTTGGACAAAAATGCTGAGGCTGGATTTAAGGGCTGTTTTGCTGTTGTTTTGTGTGGTAACATGTGTTTCCGGGATGAGACGAGAGTACTTTCTAAAGATAGAAGAGGTGTCGTGGAACTATGCTCCAACTGGGATGAACATCATCCAAAACCGCTCAATCCAGGACGATGAGTAAGTGCGCACGATACATTTTCCATTTTATCACAGAGTCATAAATCAATATGAAATAAAGAATCAAAATGGGTACAATTAACCCCCCCCCAACACGACATGTTAATATTTGCTTCAACAGCAATTGACAAACAGGAATGATCACATATGGTCAGCAGATACTAATATAAGAACACAGTTATAGCCTACTGAACGCATTGCACTGCATATGACAATATATAAGTTAATATGAAGACACTGTGATGAAAAAATGGCAACTATATATTTATAAATGTACTTCTTGGATAATTTGGTATCCTGGTGTTGCTCATGCTGAATCACTGTCATGGGTTATTGGTTATTTACGTGTACCATCACAGTGTTGGTACACGTGCTTCATCTTGTAGTCACAGGACCAGACTTATCAGCATAAAATCAGTTTTTGGTGATAAAAAACTACTTATTATTTATTATAGAGGTGGAACGTAAACTTTGCCCGGTGCTTTTGCAGCTGGCCTTTTGCACGTGTATTTGTAGGAGTTTTTCTTTATTTAATATTTAAACGAATCATGCAAAATTGATTCATTAAGTGTTATTCATTTGGAGCGAGAGGAAGGCTTGGAGCTGTTAGAGCAGTGTGAAAATTTTTAATCTGTCCCGTAACCCTTTCTTATTCCTGTAGCAGAATCTCAGTTGTGCTCCTCTATGAAAACCTACTGGGCTTGTTACGAAATGATGAGAATCGAGCTGATCTGAACTTCACACGTATACAAAAGATTTGTGTATACGTTGTTTTACTGTTAGCCAAGTTACTTTTTATAGTGAGCTGATAAGTTTGAAGTCTGACATTTTTACCCAATAAAACGTCTCTGCATGTCTTTCCTCGACAGTCACTCTGTATTTTTTTCTGTCTTTCTTTACTTCTCTATGTCACCGCTGTTATATCACATATTGAAATGTCTGTCGGGGAATGTATGAGTGTGTTGGATTAAATGGTAAATGGCCTGCATTTGTATAGCGCTTTTCTAGTCCATAGGACCCCAAAGATCTTGCAATAGCCTACATAGCAGGCTTTTCATATGCATCTCTACGCACAGCCTCACACAGCGCGTGTAACGGTGTTACTCAACACGTTGTCATTCCCGACGCGTTGGTACGTTTCGCTGTGGGAGTGAGAACGGTCTCGTTACTCGATGCGCACAGTCACGCAGTTGAGCACTTACTAACAGTATCATCATTAGCACTCAATTGTGTTTTATGTTCTTCTACACATCATATATCTTATTACAGATTTCGGTGTATTTGGGAAGTGTTCGCCAAAGTGCAGCCTTTCTCTTGGATAAATCGCGCTCCAGTCTCATATATTTTATTTTATTCATATATATCAAAGCATAAGCATATATCAAACATATAGATTCCTTTCCAGCTTCCCCTCTCTTATCTCATTTGCGGTGCTATTTCAGGAAGAAAGATCCTGCGCATTTTTGCCATTGGGACCTTAACCTTTTAGTAAATCTGACCCATGATGTCATTTGTGGAAAAAAGAGCGTTAGAGACACTCAGTCTCTCTAGAAGCTTTACGTGTTTTAACTTACATAAGGACACATACACAAAACCACTCTCATGCATCTCTGCCTGAACCCCTCAACAGAGAAGCCTCCGTCTTTTTAAAGAGCGGTCCGCAGCGTATCGGCTCAACCTACAAGAAGGCTGTTTATAAGCAGTACAGCGACGCCACCTACAGGACGGAGTTGACAAAAGCAGAATGGCTGGGTTACCTCGGACCTCTGTTGATGGCTGAGGAGGGCGATACACTGATTGTCCACCTGAAGAACACAGCGTCCAGACCTTACAGCGCCCACCCACATGGTCTGAACTATACTAAAGGCAACGAGGGTGAGAAATGCACAAACGGACGTACTACTAGAGTGGAGTGGAAAGGTTAACACATGCGTGTGACTGTGACTGTGTTTGTGGGTTCACTCCTCAGGAGCACTCTACCCAGATGGCACGGGTCCAGAGCTGAAGCGAGATGATTCGGTACCTCCTGGTCAAACAGTGACCTATGAGTGGACCCTCGCAGAATCCCACAGCCCAACATCACATGACAGCAACTGCATGACCAGATTCTACCATTCCCACGTCAGCCCGCCAAAAGACATCAACTCAGGGTTGATAGGGCCCCTCATCGTCTGTAAGAGAGGTACATTTACTCCACTAAATTTACTTAAGTACAACTTTAATATATTTTATTTATAGTCCAGTGTCTTTCAGAGCCAAACATTCTACCTTTTACTCTTGTTAACATTATGTAACTATGTTTACATTATAGATCCATAATAGAACACAATAGACAGTTTTTAAAAACGTGTTTATTTTTATATTTATATCTATTTTTCATCCCCCTTTTCTTTTGTTTTGGAAAGCACTGCCTGTCTTTCTAAATGTCCTCTCCTCTGCAGGAACTCTGGACTTACATGGCGATAGTTCAGCAGACTACCAGTATGCTCTGCTGTTCATGGTGTCAGATGAGAACTTCAGCTGGTACCTGGATGAAAACATCAGGACATACATCACAAATCCTGCCAGAAACCTGAAGGAGGACGAAGACTTCATTGAGAGCAACAAGATGCATGGTGAGAGGAAGCATCAGAATCAGAAAGACTTTATTTATCCCAATTAACATATCATGCTAACAATTAGCATATCACCAGCATACACACTTACAAGCTTGCATTTGCATCCCTGCACCATTTTACCCTCGCTATGTATTACAGGTATTAATGGTTTGCTGTATGGTAATCTTCGTGGACTGAGCATGTGCCAAGGCAACAAGATCCAGTGGCATTTGTTTGCATTAGGCAATGAGGTAATCTATGTTATATTATCACATCTCTATTCTTAATATTACTGTTACAGAGAATATTTTCAAAACATTAAACTGAGCATTTAATCTAAACATTTAGGTCAATTTATAATGTTTACAAACATTTAGAAGAACAGGTTGGTTCTTTTAGGGGGTTCCAAAGTGGATCATTTGCCTCTATCTCACCCTGTTCCCTGCTCACACTGACCCTCCTCTTTCACTTTATACATGAATCTTCTCTGTTGTCTTCCTCTTTCTCTCCTGCCTTTCCTTCCTCTGCACATGTCCATAATATCTCCATCTCGTCTCTTGAACTTTGCCTCCAAACAGCTTAACCTGAGCTGTCCTTCTGATGAACTCATTTCTAATACGGTCCATTCTGGCCACTCCCCCCAAAAATCTCAACACCTCCAGCTTGGCCTCCTGTCTTTTCATTAGTGCCACAGTCTCCAAACCATCCATCACTACTATCTTGGAAACCTTCCCTTTCACTCTTGCTGCTATCCTTCTGTCACAAATCACCCTGACACTCATCTCCAAGCACACTCCACCCTGTCTACACTCTCTTCTTCACCTTTCTTGTGTGCTGTCTGTTGTTTTGGATGGTTGGCTCAAGGTATTTAATTAAACTTGTCCATCTTCCCTCCCTCTACTCCTTGCATGTTCACCTTTCCACCTGCCTCACTCTCATTAACACACATGTTTCTGCTGACATTCCTCTTCTCTCCACCTCTCCAGGCTCTCTTCCACCTACTTTCAACTCTCAGGAGACAGTCTTTCAAAGACAGAAGGGGCTGTGGGCATTATCCTAATTGTTGCTAACTAAACCATGAGACACCTGCAAATACAGTCAGTCTCACAGCTTGTGCTTTCAAAGGTTCAGCTTTTTTAAGGATTTAAGTTTGCCTTGCTGAGACTGTTGCAGAAGTTTTCTACTGATAGTCTTTAATCAGATAAGGTTCAAGTTTAATAAAAATGTGAGCATGTGTTACTTTCTGTGGTACAGATTGCTTTCATTATTATTATTGCTAGTTTCAGAATTGCAAAAAGGATTTCTAGTACATTCACCTCCTTGTGTAACATTATTGAAATATTATTTATCTACAGGTGGACATGCATTCAGTCCATTTCCATGGTCAGATCCTGACCACTATGAACCATCATACAGACACAATCAGTCTTTTTCCTGCTTTGAGCACCACGGCGGAAATGGTAGCTGACAACCCAGGACACTGGCTGCTGGCATGTAGTGTCAATGACCATCTGATGGGTGAGATTATGAATTACAATTCAGGGAAGGATACATTTCTGCACACCGATTAATAATGTATTCAACATTGTTTTTTTGTGCTTTTGTCCAGCTGGAATGCAGGCTTTGTTTGAGATAAAGAAGTGCTTCCCCAATGTCCACAAGCCCCGGCCTTATGGAGAGCAGCGACAGTACTTCATTGCCGCTGAAGAAGAAGTTTGGGACTATGCTCCTACAGTGCCTACAGATGGGTTAGTTACTGTACAAACTGACAGGAATGGAGAGGACTGCTGGTCTGCAGAGATCTTTCTTAATTTGAACTTTGCTTTTGTGTGAGCAGTGCGGCAGAAACGTTTGTAACCCGAGGTCGAAACCGCATTGGAAGCCGCTATAAAAAGGTTCGCTATGTGGAGTACACTGACAACACCTTCATGACAAAGATGCTCCGCAGCCCAGAGGACCAGCACCTTGGAATTCTGGGTAATTCAAGCTTGCGTGGTTTTGGAAAGTTTGATGTTGCTAAAATCTGAAAACAACAACAACAAAAAAAACAAACCCAAAACCCAGAAACGAAACACACACACACACACACACACACACACACACACACACACACACACACACAGCTTCTCTGGAACAAGTAATGAAATCATTTTTTGATTTTAATAAAGTGAGACAATAATTAGAGCAGCCAAGTGCCAATGTTAAAAATAAAAACACAAAACAATGCAGTTGTTTCTTAATTAGTAATTACCATGGCTCGGTTCTGTCATTGATCAGTAAGTTACGGCCTCGCTTTATTTAATCAGTTTGACAGTTCGCTCTAAGCAAAGATTACATCAAATTTCAGAGTTCATTCATACTGTAACGTTCCCATATGTTCTCAACAACCAGACGTTTTGATCTCAGTTTGTCCGTTTATTCGGTAACACAGGCCACTCTGGGGAGAGTGCTCTCGTACAACACCTCACTTCTGCCCCGCACAGTCACACAACAACATGGACCCCCCCTCCCCTTCCTGCACACATTAACTCCCTTTTTTCCTGCAGCACAACCAAACATGTATCTTAAAGAAATAACAACAGTGTCAACCTGTCACTGTAAAATAACATTTAACCATCGTTACAATACCTTTCGAGCTATTGCGTTTGCAGACAGAATGACACAAGCGCACAAACGCTAACAAAACCATAATTGCCTCAGTTAATTACAGGTTTTTTGAATGAATTGCTTGTCAGAAATACAGTTATTGCAATTCAAAAGCACAGCAGAGCTGTGGAACATTTCCAAAAACTGCCTTAACTCATATTTGAACAAACTCATTTGGTTTAGTGTCTTAAACCATGTTGATAATCCCTCTAATTTTATGAGCTGTTATTATTAAAAACTATATTGCACCCTAACAGCATCTTATGCACGTTGCACGTTAATGTTTCCAGGTCCTGTGTTGAAGGCTGAAGAGAAAGACACTATCAGGGTGGTGTTCAAGAACAAAGCCAGTCGGCCTTACACAATACAACCTCATGGAGTACAGTACAGCGTGGAACAGGATGGCACACTGTATCACAATGAGTTGGAAGGTTAATGGATGTACATTCATAAGTAATGCTATCAGTGCTAATATCTGTTTCATCCATCTGAACTCCTCTTCTTTTCCTCTCTTCAGAGTCTTATACAGATAAGAAACTGCGGGAGCTGAAGAGGCTGCCAAGTAAGTGGAAGTCTGCAGTTGGAGTACCATTTAGCATTTTGTTGATGCTGTTATTATTGCTAATGAGAATTCGCCATTTCTCTGTGGAAATGCGTGAGTAGGGGTGGTGACTCCTCCCCCTGCTGCTCTGGTCAGACCTGGGATGGTGCACATCTATGAGTGGATGGTGCCTGTAGGTGCTGGACCCGTAGAAGGGGAGGCTGACTGTCTGACCTATCTGTACTACTCTGCTGTGGACCCTGTTAAAGATACCAGCTCTGGACTGGTGGGGCCACTTCTCATTTGTCGACCTAAATCGCTGAAGAAGGGAGTACAGGTGAGAGGAAAGACAAAAAAACCCCAGCAAGTCAACATATTGTGTGGTTCAGGTTACAGAGCAAGTTACATCCTCCTGAATTTGGTATTATAAAGGTAGATATATTTGGAATAAAATGATTCACACCAGGCTGTGCAGTGGACATATAAATGTTTTTTAAATTCAAATAGAATTATCAGTAAATTACACAGAAAATATTGATGACACAGGACTCGTTCTGCTGGCCTGAAACACGTGTCTTGTGTTAGACTGAAAAAATGTTGCAGTTTCTTATAACAAAAAGAATGAATCTTCCTGACATCCTGATATTCCTGACAGTGGCATCCAAAGAGGCGGATCGTCTTAAAATCAATAAAATGTGCTTTTGGCTTTAGTCATCGACTATCCACGGCTCCTGTCTCCAGCCTGGAAAATCTCTTCCTAACCTGAGTGTTCAGTCCCACTCTAACATCACAGAAAAGAAAAAAAAACAATGTTTTGTAGCCTTACTGGATTAATGAAGCAAAATCATCACCTCTTCACCTCTCTCTCTTTTCATGCAGAAAAACTATAATAAAGAGTTTCACCTCATGGCCACTGTATTTGATGAGAACCTGAGCTGGTATCTTGATGACAACATTAGGACTTTCACTACTGCTCCCAACACTGTCAACAAGGAGGACGAGGGCTTCATCGAGAGCAACAAAATGCATGGTGGGTACAGTGTGAAGTTTCATTTTAGTCACCATGTAATAGTTAAATTGGGGACAGCTATTATTATCAACTAATGTCCCTTTACTGACTCAGCAATTCACCATAACGTACCTAATCTCTGTGTGTAATATTTCTGTGAATTTCTTTTTAGCCATCAATGGGTTCGTGTATAACAATCTCCCAGGGCTGACCATGTGTAAGGGCGATAAAGTATCATGGCACCTGTCAGGACTGGGGTCAGAGACAGACATCATCAGTCTCTACTTCCAGGGCAACCGTTTCATCTATGAGCAGAACAGACGGGACACCATCAGCGTATTCCCTCACATCTCACACACTGTCACTATGGAGCCGGACAGCATGGGTATGGAGCTTTGAACCCTTATTTATGTTGTTCTGTTTAGTTACACTTTAGGTGTGGCCCATGCATACAAAAAAGTAAAAGCCCAAAGTTCAAGTTCAGATGAAATATAGAGGAAGATGGGTTGAATTGATTTATTGGCAGCTACAGCAGCTGCCAATAGGAAACTTACATTAATAATTTGAAAATGATTGACACTACTCTCTCTTTTATTTTAAACAGAATGGCATCACAACAAAACAGATTAAACTTAATTAAAAATGTCCGACTATCTGCTGGTCTGACCTAGCAGACACATGGATTTACCTAGATGGGTGATGTCAAAGATGCACCCTGTGGGCCAGAACTGGTCTAATCAAAGGTCCACTGAATACTTTTTGAAATAAATAAAAAAAATATAAATAAAACTGAATTGAATTGAAGTTGCCATGACAGCGGTGTTAAGAACCATTGAAGTGGACATGAAACACTAAATGTATTAAGGTTAATTTATCCCATGGAGTAGCGCCATGTCTGTGAAGCTGGGTTTAATAAATAAGTGCTTGAAGTTACAGTTTCTAGAGCATGTGTAGCGCCGTTTTGTCCGAGTAAAGAATGTGACATCACTGGGTTGGTCTAGTTGGCTGTTGCTATCAGTCTTACATTAATTTATTAGCTAACTACAGCAGCGACAGAACTGATAATTCAGTGGAAAACAAGACTAAAACTAAAAATCAGTCGAATGACCTTCATGCAATTTAACCCCCAGTACTACTGAGGTTCTGTCTTTTCCCAAGCAAATGCAAACAGTTTACAACATATCATATTACTATGTGTGCATCATGCCATGAATATAAGTAGGTTTCCTACCGAAGCATGATTAGGAATCTTAACATCCATCAGCATGAGTCACTCTGATACATAAGCCTGAATCATTGCTGAATTTACATTTACAGCCTTCTTACTCAAAGACATTACCCTGAGGAAATGTACTTAAGTCAGGGAGCTATGCTGGTGCATTTCTTTGATTTGTGACAGATTAGCACACACATATCCATTGATGGCTGCACACAAACATGCACACATTGATTTGTGACAGTAGGTTGCAGTTCTTAGTAGACTGACTCAGTGCACAAAAGCTAAAAGGTACTGTTGAAATGTTACATATTTTTAAGGCATCACAGACTGTTCATCATTTGTTTTGTTGGATAGTTCAGTAAATGGGAATGATTTCAGTAAACATGAAATACAATTACCCTTACTATGACCTTGGCCATTAAATCTTCAAGAAGTGTTGAGTGAGAAGACTTGAGAGCTAATTCCAAAAAAAGGACAAGTGTCATGATTTGGTGCATTGCAGACTGAGCTAGGAAGGTAAAAAAAAAGTGTTAAGAAACAACAACATTTGGACAAAACAACAAAACCAGAGAATTTAGTCAAAAGAGCACATTTGTAAATCCAACAGTCACATTGTGTGTTACCGTATCTGCGTGTGTGTATGTGTTTTAGGTCAGTTTGAGGTGGTGTCTGCTACAGTGAACCATTACCGTAATGGGATGAGGGCCAACTACACGGTAGAGAAGTGCAGCATACTTCATCGTCAGAGTGAGATGATGTTACATTCAAAAACCTACTACATCGCTGCCATGGAAATAGACTGGGACTACGCTCCAAACCGCACCTGGGAGGTGGAGATGTTCCGCGGCATGGAGAGGTATCAGCTGTAGGGCACGAGCCTGAGAGCTCAAATACAGTATACCAGCAGCACATATATGTAACTCTTGTGCGTCTACCTTTATACAGTATACATTATGTATTACATGTTTACGTTATGAAGCTTATGAAACATCACAGAAAACAATAACAAATTTAGTAAAGTTTAGGGAAAAAAAGTGTCCCATTGTTACATGAGAATGCTCATTACTCTAAACATGCAGACTCTGAGTATCTTAATGCCTTTTATGGTAATAAACTGCTTTTGGACATTACAATAGGAACACAAAAATAACAGTGACCAACCAAACAGATGTCAGTATTATATTATAAAGTTTATTCTGTATATAGCAGAGCACTATACTATTTTTAGGATATGAAACTGTCGTAGATTGTGGTAGGAGCACTGAGAAAGAATTAAATAGTAATGCTGGCAAATCGAGTTTTCTTTGGTTGCCTCTTATATAACAGTGAAAACTTGTTATAGTGGAACTGCAGCTGTTTTAGTAAATCAAAATGTGTTGGTGACTCTCTCGCTGCAGTCCTGCCCCCGTCTTTCTGGACAAGCAGGGTGGATTCATAGGCTCTCGTTACAAGAAGGTCGTCTACCGACAGTTCACCAGTGACAAGTTTACCAAACAGGTCGAAAGAACCGCTGACATGGAGCATCTCGGCATTATGGGTGAGTATATCGAAGAGACCACTGACACATACTGTACAAATTCATATTTTTCCATAAAGTTTTTGAAGCTCTGAAGAGAATATATTGTTGGTGCAGTAAAAGCCACTGATTGTGCTACATATTGTAAATAACACATGATTAATCGTGTAACGTCTTAAGCTCCAGTTGGTACTTAAAACATTTGCCTTCTCTTTAGGTCCAATGATTCACGCTAATGTTGGAGACAAAGTTAAGGTGGTTTTCAAGAACATGGCAACCAGACCTTATTCCATTCATGCACACGGAGTCAAAACAGAAAACCCCAGCGTCCACCAAACCCAACCAGGTACAGAAATGCCTAGAAATAATAGAAGCGGATGGAACAAAGGGACACAATCAATAAACAATTTCAGTCACTGTGGAACTTTTTTATGACTTCAGCAGAATAAATGTGTTTTTTTGAGAACATAGAAAGGGCATACAGTATTCCCTCTACTCTTCTTTTCTCTAATGGATTATGCCATGTTCTTAATGTATAAATGGTGTCCAAAACATTGAAAACTACAATGTGTTTCTCAGGTGAAATTCACACCTACTACTGGTATGTCAACAAGAACACTGGACCAACAACAGAGCAAGAGGAGTGCTCTGTGTCAGCGTACTACTCTACTGTTGATGTTGCAAAGGTACGATGATGTAGACAAGTCAAACACAGCACAGGCAATAACAAGTACTCACAGACTTACATGTTGTCCCCCTGCCCCTCCAGGACCTTTACAGCGGACTGATTGGTCCATTAGTCGTCTGCCGCCGTAGTTGGGGCAGGTGAGTATCTACATGTTCTGCTTGATGTACAGCGCAGCACACATTCTGTTTATGCAGTACCACATAATAAAGTATGATAAAATATTTGCGTCTTCCAGGACTTTAGGACTGAAGAAGGAAGTGGAAGAGTTTGCACTGCTTTTCCTGGTTTTTGACGAGAATGAGAGTTGGTAAGTAGCAGATAGATTCCCTTTGAAACCTCTGCTTCCTCTATTCAGCGGGCAATACATGCTAAAATGACACAAATTTGAAGTAAAAGGATCCAACCCAATTTCTTAATTCCAATTCAAAATTACATAATCCTCCTCGACAAAACCTAAAATTCCAGTAAGAGATAACAAGTATTATGATGGTGGTCATCAGCTTCAGGCTCTGTATGCACTCTGCGCATTTAAAGGGGCGTTTCACAAGCCACGTGACTTCTCAAAGGAGTCCACACAAAACGATTCCCAGGAGTGTCCCCTCCTGATAACTAGAGATGTTATCAGGTGATAAAATGCTGAACATTACATAACATAACATTACAATAAATTACAAATTTATGGAGATTGATTGTGCAGAAAAAACATTGATCTTTAAAGAAAAAAAAAACTTTACCCTGCACAGAGCTGTAAAATAAACATTTTAATTCAAGTTAACTATTTTATCACCGATTGAGCCTCTGTTTGTTTGTTAATAAGTAATCATAAGAAGTATATCAGTATGATAAGTAATTATTAGTTATTTCTTTTTTATGAAACAGAAAACTCTGACTTTAAACTCAACACAGCTCACTAAGCCATTAATCTCACTTTGTAGGACAGTCCTCAGGAGGACAGTGACTACTACTGCAAATTCATGAACCAAACCCCAAAAAACAAAAAGAATGAAACCCATTCCTAGAAAATCACAAGGTAATGGGGCGACCGTAGTTTATGTGGTTGGGAAGCTCATCTGTAACCGGAAGGTTGCCGGTTCAAACCCCCAGCTCTCTCTGTCCTGGTCGTTGTGTCCTTGAGCAAGACACTGTACCTTACCGCCTACTGGTGTTGGCCAGAGGGGCCGATGGCGTGATATGGCAGCCTCGCTTCTATCAGTCTGCCCCAGGGCAGCTGTGGCTACAACTGTGGTTTGCCTGCACCAGTGTGTGAATGTGAGAGTGAATGAATAGCGGAATTGTAAAGCGCTTTGGGTGCCCATATAAATGCAATCCATTATTAAAGAAAAAACAGAGCCTCAGTCACAAAAGAGGAAATAAAAACATCGATCCAACACTAAATACGCAAACAGAATTCTAAAACAGAAGCAGAGATCCACTCTGAGGACCAGGACAGCAGGATATGATGCTTAGCTGAATTTTCCTGCAGCGCCGCCTGAAACAGGAAGGGCTGTATATTTATGACTGCTGCTTAAACTACAGGTATCTGGATGAAAACATCAGAGCGCAGATCAGGAACCCTCGCCCAAACTTAAAGGATGATGAAGACTTTATAGAGAGCAACAAAATGCACGGTGAGACAAGCAGACACGTACAAAAGGATTTTTGAACATTTTTGTTTTTCCATCTACACATAAAAATATATATTTTTTCTTTACAATGTGTGCATGTTTGTGTGCAGCCATCAATGGATATGTGTATGCTAACCTGAATGGTCTGAACATGGAGGTGGACGATAAGGTGTACTGGTACCTAATGGGAATGGGCAATGAAGTGGACATACACACAGCACACTGGCATGGCCATAGTGTGGAATATAAGGTATATAGAAATGATTCAAAAATACCCTCTCACACAATCACACAGTATATAAACGCAGTTCACAAATGCTCTTTTCTCTGCAGCTGGGTGGAGGTGCTCACCGTGCTGATGTGTATGAGCTGTTTCCAGCCACCTTTCAGGTGAGATTTCAAAGGAATGGCTTCTTTTAAGAGCTGAGTCTTTCCTCTTTGACGTTAAGGTCTGGTGTGTTTCACTTTAACACTAGCATGAAGGTGGATGACTTTAATTGCATGTGGTCAACCATCCAAAGGAAGAGAGAAGAGAGGTTATGAAGAGAGTGCAAGCAGGGAGGAGTGGGCGGAGATGAGTGAAAGTTAGAGAGACACGGCTGAAATGCACTAAATATACACATAAGGTAACAAGGAAATGGCACACAGGATGGAGACACAGCTGAACCTAATTAGACAAGGCAACGGGGAAGCAAAACCAGATATGTGAAACATGGAAACACAAGACCTACACAATAAAACAGGAAACTGGGGAACATGACACAGGAGTGAAGAATAGGCAGACGAGAGACATGTTGGACCAGGGAAAAATGGATAAACCACAAGGAGGAGAAACAAGACACAACACACATAAGCACAAACACAGAATGGGGGCAAAGACATGAGGGGAGCCTAAATGTACAACGGTAAACATGGTGGTAATCCTGAGGTTATTCTAAGAATAATAAACCATCACACAACAAGTCATAAAAACACAAGAGACACAAAAAGCTGGGTCAAAAGCACCCAGAACCATGACAACCACCTTAAAACACAAATTCTAAGCAATTTATCCAACAGAATTAGGAAATTGAACTCTAATTGTGCAGCTATTGAGTCATGTGATTTTCTATCTACTTTCTTTTCAGACAGTAAAGATGCGTCCTCAGTATCCTGGTACCTGGCTGCTCCACTGTCACGTCACAGACCACATTAAAGCTGGCATGGAAGCCATGTACACTGTTACTGAAAAACGTAAGGAACCAGTCTGAGCAGAAAAAAACAGGCAAATAAAAATGAGGATGCTGTGTTGGTGATAACTTGTTTGTTTGTCTTTGACAGCAAAGAAGAGTGGAATCTTTGGCTGAAGGAAAAGTGAGAGACGAGTAAAAGGACGATGTCAGTGCCTCAGTTTACTAAATGCCTCCGTTAATGATGCATAGCAGAAACTTAACATGGAATCAAGCATTACCAACAGTTATTGTATAATAAAATGTCTTTTTTATAATCATTTTTGCTCAGTAACTTTTCTAAAGACTGCCAGACTGTAGTGAAAAAATAATTAAAAAATAAATTTAAAAGCAAAGTTACTGTGTTTGGGTCTCAGTATCAGTACCAGGGGACACTGTGGCCTTACAGTTCACATTTATGGAGCCATCAGTCACAGTTGTCAAGATTGTCTGTTTGTGTGTGTGTGTGTGTGTGTGTGTGTGTGTGTAGTCTTTCCTTTTTAAGTATATGATTTGGTAATTGTGTTTGACAAAAAAAATATCTGATTTGATGAGATTATCAATTCGATTCGATTCAATTCAATTTTATTTATATAGCGCCAAATCACAACAAAAGATGCCCCAAGGCGCTTCATAGATACAGAGAAAAACCCAACAATCATATGACCCCCTATGAGCAAGCACTTTGGCGACAGTGGGAAGGAAAAACTCCCTTTTAACAGGAAGAAACCTCCGGCAGAACCAGGCTCAGGGAGGGGCGGGGCCATCTGCTGCGACCGGTTGGGGTGAGAGAAGGAAGACAGGATAAAGACATGCTGTGGAAGAGAGACAGAGGTTAATAACAGATATGATTCAATGCAGAGAGGTCTATTAACACATAGTGAGTGAGAAAGGTGACTGGAAAGGAAAAACTCAATGCATCATGGGAATCCCCGGCAGCCTACGTCTATTGCAGCATAACTAAGGGAGGATTCAGGGTCACCTGGTCCAGCCCTAACTATATGCTTTAGCAAAAAGGAAAGTTTTAAGCCTAATCTTAAAAGTAGAGATAGTGTCTGTCTCCTGAATCCAAACTGGAAGCTGGTTCCACAGAAGAGGGGCCTGAAAACTGAAGGCTCTGCCTCCCATTCTACTTTTAAATACTCTAGGAACAACAAGTAGGCCTGCAGAGCGAGAGCGAAGTGCTCTAATAGGGTGATATGGTACTACAAGGTCATTAAGATAAGATGGGGCCTGATTATTTAAGACCTTGTATGTGAGGAGCAGGATTTTGAATTCAATTCTGGATTTAACAGGAAGCCAATGAAGGGAAGCCAAAACAGGAGAAATCTGCTCTCTCTTTCTAGTCCCTGTCAGGACTCTTGCTGCAGCATTTTGGATTAGCTGAAGGCTTTTCAGGAGTTTTTAGGACATTCCTGATAATAATGAATTACAGTAGTCCAGCCTGGAAGTAACAAATGCATGAACTAGTTTTTCAGCGTCACTAAGAGACAGGATATTTCTAACTTTAGAGATGTTGCACAAATGAAAGAAAGCAGGCTTACATATTTGTTTAATATGTGGATTGAAGGACATGTCTTGGTCAAAAATGACTCCAAGGTTCCTCACAGTATAACTGGAGGCCAAGGTAATGCCATCCAGAGTAAGAATCTGGTTACATACCATATTTCTAAGATTTTCAGGGCCGAGTACAATAACCTCAGATTTATTCACGGCTTTTTTTTGAATTTTTTTTTTTTTTTTTTTTTTTTTTTTTTTTTAAAAATTAGTCCCTTTCCCTTCCCT